AGAGAGAGACAAAGAGAGAGGGGTTGGGGGGGGCATTATCCATCCCCCCACCCCAAACCTTACTTACCTATTGGCATGGGAGGCACTGGTAGATGGGCAAAGAGTTCCAGCAAGAGTCCAAAAGATGATAAGGCAATTTTGAAAAAACCCTCTACTGGCCAATTCTTATACCTTGGGTTCTTACAACAAACACACGTCACATTAAAGGCGGCCGTGGCTCTATACTGCAGACCGTCTTTGCGACTCATGAAGTAGCGGCGCAAACCTTGGAATGCCCACCAGAATCCGAAAAAGAGGAATAACGAACCCGGAAGGGCGTGTCCTTTTAAATCTCCCATCTCTTTTTTCTGTTCTAGTTGTTCGCTTTTCTCACAAGGAAGAAGCAAATTCGTCACCGAAAATCCAAGTGCGGCTGATGTTCTTTAAGTTGCAGGCCACTTGAACCAACAAATCGTAAGTCTTGTTAGATAATAAACCATGGACAGGTTGCCTGCTTTTGTCAGTTTCGACACAAGTCTACCGTGACCCTTCTACTAAAATAGCCAGAAGATAAACGTGATTGCGTTGATTTCCTTTCTGCGTCCTCCGCCTCCTCCCATCAAGTTTGCTGAAACTTTCGGTCAAATCATGTATTCCTGGTTCATATAGATACTGCTGCAGCTTCTGTTGTTGTTGTTGTTGTTGTTGTTGTTGTTGTTGTTGTTGTTGTTGTTTTTGCTGATGTCCCAAAATGTGGTGTGTATGAACTCTTTCCTCATCATTTCCTTCTTTGCCTGTTAGTTGTAACGGACGCTGTGTCTCTACCACAGAAAATGTAGTTGTAGAGAAGTTGTACAATCAGAAGAACAGGGCCACACCTCCAACAGAGAAGGGATTTAGTTGTTCAGTTCTTGAAGAGTTAATAGATTATGGTGTCATCGTATACTGTATACCGAGGAACAACATTACACTGGTTGCCATAAGGTGCACGAAGCAGTTCTGAAACAAATAAGAAAAGGATATGGGTTAATAAACAAACACAAAATGTTATGTTCAATTTGCATTCAACCACATTATTGACTCTACTTTCCGCTTCTCATTCCAGTTTTCCTATATGATATCTCCTCCTCCTCCTCCTTCTCCTCCTTCTCTTATGTTGTTTATCCACCTCCTTATGTTGCCCCTGTTCCTAAATCCTGCTCCTCCCACTACTGTTTATTCTCTCCTTCCTCCTCCTCTTCTTCCAACTCCTGTTCCCGCCTCGGCTCATCCTCCTTCATATCCTGCTTCTCCCCTTCCTCCTCCCCCCTCTCCTCCGACGCCTCCTCCTTCTCTAAAGGTTTGTTAACATATTGGCATGTTGCTTAGATACTCAGGAAACAATAGTAATAACAGAGGAAAAGTTGCACAAAATCAAACTAAATTGTAATTCAAGATAAAAGTCAAAGTCAAATAATGATCCGGAGTGGGGTGGGGGTGAGGGAGGGCGCGTTTCAGTTCAGTGAGATTGAAAAGTCGCCTGTCTCTAGCTATACTATTTCTCTTATGAAATCATTCTTACCTATACCATTGCCTTTTTCTTACAAATGTCATGATATTTGATAAAGGATATTGTTATTTGGAAATCCGTGAATGTGTACGTGTTTGTGCATTATTGTGTACTTGTGTGTATTCATGTGTGTCGGTATGTATGGCTGTGTGTGTGTGTGTGTGTGTGTGTGTGTGTGTGTGTGTGTGTGTGTG